CCCTGTGTCTCAGACTTTCAGAAATCAAGAAAATCATTTTAAATAATTGATAACCAACTCAAGCATCAGCAAACATTTAGAAAGGACAATAAGTTAATAACTTTTTATTTAATAACTTTCAAATAAATGTTAGGTAAACACTGACTTGTGATTACCAAAATAACCAAAACACAATGAAATCTATTGCTAATACACTTCTAAGATGTTAAGATATTGAGAAAGTGACTTAATTTTGAAAAACAAGCAAACGATTTTCTACTCCAGAAGTGGTGTTTTCTATTAAGATTTATTTACTCTCTTTTATTTAAAAAGCATTTATTGATCATTTACTGAATTAAAGCAGATTTCTGGGTTTGGAAGTCAAGGATAAGGATGTGTTGGTCCTGTCCCCGAGGTGGTCACCTTTGAGTGAGAAAAACACAAACTGTACAACTAATGGTAATGCCCATTAGGATCTCATAAATTCTGCAGGCACCAGTGGGTATGCCTGCAGTTTCCAACACAGGCTCTCTCTCTGTGTCTATTTTCCCTGGTTAAAACCCTGACTCATCTGTTCACTGCAGCAGAGGTCCAAAAATAGCACTTTCCACAAAACTTTTTAATTCATATGAAATTTAGCAGCTCCGCACTTTTTTGTTCAACTGAGAAAAGAAGGCTTACCTATTTCTCAAGAGGATCAAGAGTTTTTGCAGGTTCAACTCCCTGTAGGTCTATATTTTTGTGAAGGATTCATATCAGGGCAAACTAAAAACTGTTCTTTTATTGTCTAACACTTCAAAGACAGACTTCTCCCCAGAATATAACAAGAAACTGCTCGCTTGCAAAAGTTGCTTGATGGGATTATAGAAAAAACAACAAAACAAATCACAGCAGTTTGAAAACTTAATCCCATTTTCTTCAAATAATTCAATGAAGAAATAGGCTAATGCTATTACAGATAATATACATATTTTCTGTTGATAAGTAACTATCTAGGCAAGTTTATTTTCTGTGATTTCTTATTGATAACAGTGAAAACTGGAAATATAACATATTTTTAAAAAGCCACAGATTAAGATCCAAGAGGTCTGAAGTCTGGATATACTTGATCACTAACTGTTGACAAATTACTTTAGGTCTTTGTATAGTCTCTATGGCAAGAAATTGGGAGCAACCTAACTCTGCTGGTGATTACATGAAACACCACAGCACAAGAATCCATGAGATGTCTCATGAAACTAGAAGCTTCCAAAGAACACATTTTGAAAGTAAATGCCAACATATTATTTTGTCTCTGAAAATAGTGCTACAGGAGAGAGAAAAAAAAATAAATGTTATTAACAAATAAAAATTCTACATGCAGAGTAAATGAGATATGGAGTCCCAATAGAAAGTTTCTGCTTGCTATAATATTTTTAAATTTGGGGAAGTTACAGACTATGCATTATATTTTCTAGCCACTGAAAGCTCCTAGAAAGCAAAAAGTTCAGTCATTAGAAAGGTCGCGCTTCACTTCTCTTTATTTCTTTGCTTTAAAAGAGATCTTGTTAGAACTACATTCTGTATCTTTACTCAAATATTGGGAGCTAATTTGAAAATAAATTCAACTTATACAAACACTTTTTGGACTAAAAAAGTAGCTGATGTTTTTGGATTTTTTATTAATAATTTTTAAGATCAGTGGTGTGTGTTTTTTGTTTTTGTTTGTTTGCGGGGGTTTTTAATCTCACCCAAGGATATTTTCCTACTGACGTTTGTTTTAGAGAGAGTGGAAGAGAGAGGGAGAGACAGAGAGAAATATCGGTGTGAGGAAAACACATCGATTGATTGCCTCCTGCACTAGCCCCAAACAAAGCCCCGGGCCAGGGAGGAGTCTGCAACTGAGTTACCTGCAACCGAGTTACTTGCCCTTGACCAGAATCAAACCCAGGATCCTTCAGTTCACAGGCTGATGCTGTATCCATTGGGCCAAACCAGCTCGGGCTAAGTTCAGCTTTAATCTTGAACTATGTAAAATATGAACTTAGTTTTTCTATTTGTTGTTTATCTTTTAAGTATTAATGTCAATAGTAAATGGCTAGGATCACAGTCATAAAACTTGAAGTGGTAGGGCCCAGAAATTCATTCATTTCTGCCAGAGAACTATCACAGTTGCAACTGATTGCAGAAACATGTATCATGTATTCATTCATTAGGTACATATTTGGTAAAAGCCTGCCCTAGGCCACATATTATTGTTAGTCCTACAGGGCAGCAGTGTGCAAATGAGACAAAATTCCAACAAATGTACTGGTAAATGTTCGACATTTCAGGGGTGTTGGAGGCAGCAAGAGGACTTATTTGTAGCAATTGCTTATTTACATTATGCAATACTCCTTCCATGACAGATTTTAATCTACCAACCTCTCATCATTGAACTTAGAGTTGGGAAGAGATGTGTACAACCAACACTTGTGAGCCCATGTGAGCTGGTTCCGACACACCACTGAAAAAATCCTGCCCAAGTAAGAAAATGTACTCTAGTGGAGACAGAGAAGCAACATACCTGTCACATGGGTAGTATATCAGATACTGAAAAGTGTGTGGCAGAAAAAAAGAAAAGCAAGGAAGTTGAGGAGGCAGTGTGAGATAAGAAGAGGCAATTTTAAATAGGATAGTCAGGAAACTCTCCCTTTAAAAATGGCATTTTAACAAAGCCCTGAAGTTGTGAAGGAGTGGGCCGATGGATAATAAAGGAAGAACACTTCAGGACTTGGTTTCTACTGGCTAGATGGTAAAGGCTTGGGTATTTATTATAAGAATTTTGGTTTTTACCACAAGTAAGATGGAAAAACATTGACAGGTTTTTGTTTTGTTTTGTTTTGCTTTGTTTTTAGCCAAGGCATGACATGATCTCACTTGTATTTTTCAAATGTCACTCTTGGTGATATTTCCAGAGTAAACATTTGGGGGTGAGCTAAGTTGGAAGCTCTTGCAATAATCCAGGCAAGAGGTGATGGTAGTGTGGACCAGAGTGGTAATGGAGAGAATGGTAAGAAGTGATGAGATTCTAGGTATGCTGTGAATGTAGAGCCAACAGAATTTGCTGACAGGTTGGATGTGAAGTGTTGCCCAAAAGATAATTCCAAAGATTTGGTTCTAATCAATTGGAAAGATGGATTTAGCATTTACTGAAATAACAAACAAAGACATTTTGTAGGAAAGATCAAGGGCTGGGTTTGGAATATGTGTAATTTGATGTGCCTATTAGACACCTAAGAGGAGATGTAGAACAGAGTTGAACTACAAGTCTGATTTCAGGGAAAGGTTTGGGTTGGAGACACAACTGCAGGAGTACTCACGATACTGCTAATAATGAAAATACTGGGACTCGATGGGAGCATCAGAAGAGCGAATGTACATTTATTTAAAACTAGAAGCCCAGTGCACAAAATTTGTGCACTTGGTGGTGGTGGGGGGCGTTGTCCCTCAGCCTGGCCTGCTCCCTCTCACAGTCTGGGAGCCCTCAGGGACTGTCCGGCTGCCGTGGAGGTGGGAGAGGCTCCGACCACCACCACTGCACTCACCAGCCATGAGCTCGGCTTCTGGCTAAGTGGCGCTCCCCCTGTGGGAGCACATTGACCACCAGAGCGCAGCTCCTGTGTGGAGCATCTGGTCCCTGGTGGTCAGTGCGTGTCATAGCAACCAGTCATTCTGCCCTTTGGTCAATTTTCACATTAGCCTTTTATTATATAGGATGGACTTGTCTATTTGACAAACACATATTCCAAAGCACTGTTTGTGAGTATTAACTGATTTAATTCCCATAACAATAGAAGATAGGCAGTATGATTTTCCCCTTTTCACAATAAGAAAACTGAAGCACAGAGAGGCTAACTAACTTGCCCAAAGTTACAAGTAAATGGCCAAGAAGTGGTCATACAATTTCTAGTCAAGGCTCTCCAGCTCCAGAGTTCTTGTAAGAGAAGTTACCAAGACCTTGAGGCTTCAGTCACCACGTTTGCAGTTTTGGGAGATGAGACTAATCAGCAAATCCTATTCACAGCAGGTGACACAGTTTACTTTTCCACAACAGCTTTAACTATGTTCAGGGAGGATAAATATACCAATGTTTTCTTTTCTTTATGCTTCTGTATATTTTCTCTAAGAAGCTCATATTAATAGAATCAGAAAAGATTGTATTAAAATAATAGGAGCTGCAGAGGGATTTTTTTAAACCTTGTTTCAATGGATGCATATCTTCTCTATTTACCACACAGTTAAATGAGAAGATACAATAAAAAATGATTACAGACAAACTGACGTGAAGCACTCTGCTTGGGGTGTAAATGGAATTATCATAAAATTTACAGTATTTTCCAAAGAATGATTCCTGAGAGAAAAGGGAGCACTATTAATTATACACTGACAACAGGCTTAGGTTAGGACTCCCTTAAGCACATCTGTAACAAGCATGGGTGCCTCAAGGAGGCTCTCTCTTAAAATTAGAGTTGATATAAATACAAGAAGAAATTCCAACCTGCTCCATTCACACGACCAATCATTGTTGTCACCTTCTTACTATTCATTATAGATTAAGTCTACTTATTAAATTCATTATTTATTTGTCATTATTATTGCTTAGATGTTATTACTAACTACTGGTTAGACTGGATATCAGCAACTGCACGTTATTACATAGGAGTATTGGAGCTACTCAGGGCCCATCAGTCCTTAGGATGAGAAATAGTAACAGAGACTTCAGCCTCATTTCAAGAATTTGAAAAAAAATTTTAAAAATGTTAAGTATAAGTGAAACCTAATAAGCAACCACTTTATAAGTGATTAAATGCTCTATTTATAATCATTAAAAGGAAATCTCTTCATTCCTATTCTAACTTAAATGAACTAGGAAAGAAAAAACATTTAAGTATCCTCTTCTACTTCCTAAGCTACTTTTAATATTACCTAAATACTAGATTTGATGTGGAACATGTGCAAGATGGAATGGCAAAATGGAAATACAAGGGAATATACTGTACCTTGTTTTACCTCTAAGAAACACACACCTGACAAAAGGCAATTTTCACATCCAAGGTTGGTTCACTGCAGTAGTACAGTAAATGGAGGCTCATAAATACCTATAGAGAAAAAGGAGGGGTGTGACTTTTCAAATCACCTAATTATTCATTATTTAATTATACAAATTTTAATATAATTTGAATTATACACAAGGTGTCATGCACAACATATTTCAGCATGATCCTTATTCAGACCATTAATAAGTACTTTTCACAAATTATAAATATTAAGTAAAAAAGAAGATAAAAATGTCCTGTCTTCTATAATGATCAACATCATCACAATCATAAAGAATAGATATAAGAAACTGGGTACACATAATAAATTAAAGTAAAGTATATCCTATCATACAACAATTTCAGTTCTAGGCATCTAACTTTAAAAATTTCTCAAACATTAGTTTCAAGAGGATATATATATATATATATATATGAGGATGTTTATTCTAGAAAACAGGGACTATTAAATAAAATGTAATTTGCAATAAAATTATATTCAGGAATTGGAATAATTAAATTAGAGTTTAAGGAATCAACATAGATAAAATTTTCAAACATGATGCTGAGTGGGGGGAAAAGCAAGTTTCAAAAGGGTATGAAAACCACTATATTATTAATGTAAACTTTAAAAATATACAAAATGATAATATATATCACTTTGTTAAATAACCATATAACCACAGACTAAAGAAAATAGGGCACTATATTAACATGATTTAATCTTGATGGCGAGTACAGATATTTCAATTATATTATTTTCTGTATGTTCAAAATATTTTATAATTCTGTAAAGTTTTAAGAAGACAAAATTTATCTAATGGTATAAATGCTAAGTTACTTGGAAATGATGAGGCAGCATCACAGAAACCCAGATGAAATCTTATCAGTTCAATTAAACACACTTTGTTGAATGTTTATTGTGTGTATGACACAATTCTGTGAGATGACAGAATTTTAAGACCACATTGACAAAAGACTTGTTTCTGGCAATATGAACGAGTAGATATCCTGAAAACCACTCTCAAGGCAAAACTCCTAAAAAAGGTAGATGGAATATACAAAATATCTTCTAAAGTGCATAGCTGAACTGCCCAAAAAAGGCAAGAAAAGTTCTGAGGCGCTGAAAACAATGTGAAAGGATCCATGCAGAGAAGTCAATGAGCTGAAGCTGCCACTTGGCCCAGGCCATCTGCTGATGTCTGGAGACCAGACCCTGAGTTCTTAAAGGGCAGCAATGCAGAGGACAGGAAACGAAGCTTCGAATCCACCTGTGGTGGGAAATCCCACTGGCGACCCCTGCAAAACATTTCCCATAGGAAGTTCTGAACACACCTCTGAAGCAAGCTAAACAATCCTGGAAGGAAGGTCTGAATTTCAAGAAAAAAAAGTTTTACATTGGAACTTGGGCAGATTTTTAAATTTAAAGAAGAATGAAAAGACGAGAAACTGTAAGACATTCCTGAAGAAAAACAAGGTGGGCATTTGTCTGTGGGGAGGCGGGGAGGGGAAGCAGGGAATTGCTCTGCCACAGATTGAGATTTGTTTTTTAAAGCTCTAGTAATTAATGTTATGTAGGGTTGATGCAGAGATAGACTAACAATTAATAGAATCAAGAGCCCTGAAACACACATACATACATGGAAACCTAATTTATATTATATTTTGTTAATATAGTCACTTAAATCTAACTACATTAAAGATATCTCAAAAAAGAAAGTCAGGTGTGCATTAAGTCCTGCTGAGACAATTGGTCAGGAATATGAGGTAGGGGAAGGGAGAAAGCACATCCCTGTTGGGAGACAAATTCTCTGTGGGCCTCTCACGTTTCTGCATGTGCTGCAAACAGATGCCTTTATTCCAGACTATCTTCTTAAGGGTGATTATACAACAAACAGCCTTGGAAGAGAAAGATAGTGTCTCCCTCCGGAGCAGAAGGCCAAGTATGATTACTTTCCAGTATAACATAGATAAGGGCAAAAAGTAAGGCATGCTTATTATCCATTATAAAAGATTTGGATTCCCTTAGGATGGGCTTCCTCTTCTATAACGTAACTACATGTGCAGTTGTCACTTGACCTTTGAGCCATTCTGTGAGAATTGGGGCCTGAGAAATTGTCTTTGGTATTTATATTTTTTATGCTATTACAAATGGCATAATTTTAATTTTAATTTCCCAAATTCTCATTTCTGGAAAAAAAATGATTTTTGTAAATGACCTTATATTTTACAATAAATTCATGTGTTAAATCTAGTAAATTCTTGGTGGGCACAGAAACTGTCTGCAAGAGAAGACAGTTTTTACTTTTCTTTCCTAACCGCTTTTTCAATCTGCTTTTTCTTGCCTAATTGCGGTACAATGTTGATTATGGCTATGTTTGCTGAGGACCTCAGATGTATTTATGTTTCTGCATGTAAGGTAATCATGAATGTTATTGAGTTTAAATCTACCATTGTACTATTTGTTCTGTATTTTACACTTATGTTCTTTTTTTTAATCCATTTATTCTCCTACACAGCCTTTTTTTAAAGAACTGTGTAGCTTTTTGTTTTCTATTTTATTTTATATAATAGCATCTTAGTTATACTTCTCTTTTTTCTTCTTCCTACTGGTTGTTCTAGGGTATATCACCTGCATTTTTAATTTTCAGTATGCGAGCATTAAACCGTACTATCCCACTTCACATATAATTTTAAAAATTTATAATAGCATATTTCAATTTCCCCTCTAGTTCTTTGATATTGTTGTCATATATTCTACTTATACATATTTTATAAACACCATAACACAATGACATTACTTTATATTTATTCACATGTTTTCAGTTATAGTCCTTTTATACCTTACTTTAAGTTTTGTTAAACATTTATGTTTTCACAAATGGTTTTATAATTTTATTTCCATTTTCCTAATACTCATTTCCAGAATTTAAAATATGTTGTTCCATTGTCATTTCATGATCTTGTCGCATGCATTAAATGGGGATACTTTGTCCTCAGTCTTCTCACAGCACTTTGCTTATACTTTTAGTATGAATACCTTACAATATCCTGAGTTTTCATTCATATGTCTGTTCCATACTACAGTATTACCTTCTCAGGGAAAGTGATTATGTTTTATTCATGTTTAAAACCTCAAGGCCCAGCATTATTCTTAGTACATAGTTACTGTCAAGCAAATGTTTATTAAATAAAAGGAGAATCCAATTTAAAGCCTGCCTTCTATAGCCCAAATCTAAGTATCTTCATTATCTCCTCATGGTGAGACCTGTCAATTTTCAATAACTTTGATGGTAACCAATGAAGAATGAGGAGTTTGCAGCAGTGGAAGATGTGCTGCCCAGCAGGACTATCTTTGTTCTCCGCTGCTGACCTGGACATGTGGGAAATAACATCCAGCCCACCACCTGAAGTGAGCAATGTATTTTAATTTTTAATGAATGAATAATCTCGCCATGAAAAACAAGCATCCTGACTTTCCCTGGTTTGCATAATAAAGACTTCAAATATAACACCATGACTAAGTCACTCAGCTACTGCAGACCCTTCCACAAAGGGACAAAAAGAAAGAGAATGTTCAGTATGATAATCTCAGTGAATTACAGAAACCTAGTTTGGTAATTATATTTCTTGATAGCGTGGCAGAGAGCATTTGGCACCAATGCATAGAAACAACATACATGGCAGGGCATTATCTCAATATTAGTCTAAAGTGAAATTAGTGACAATATCTGGGTGCGATATAGGACCCGTGAGGAGTTTGCAAATGGGAAGGGATGATAATTGGGAGTTTAGTGCTTTCAATTACTGGTTGTTCTCCTGGGAGAAGCCCCATATGTGCATTCCTTGCTGTGTACTATTCTGAGATTTTCCTCATTACATGCCTGTATGAGTTAATGGTTACTCGGAGCAAAGCAGTAGGCCAAGTTGTATGAATGAAATACACTTAAGAATTTATTATGTTGAACTGGTGCAGAGCAGCTGCTATAAAAGAATGCAACTATGGTGTGCTTTAATAGCTTAGATCAATACTTAGATTTTTTTTTTGTATGCGAGATGTGCCAACTAAACCACAGGAGGGTTAAGAACCTTCACAGATGCAAAAAATCAAATTGTTCTGGGCAACTCCAGGCTCCCACGGTTTGTCACTGAAATGCAATATATACAAGGGAAAACCAAATGAACTACTGATTACAAAAAAAAAAAAATAATAAGTTCCAGCAGCTTCTAAGCTGAACTGGTATTTAACAAACTCATTATATATAAATTATTTTTGTATTTATTACAAGTGACTCTCTTAGCCTGCATTGTGTATACAGTAGTCATTGTTAATTACAAAAAATACTCTGTATCTTCTATGCCCAAAAGGAATCTCCAAACTATGTGAAAAAAAAAAAAAGCCTTGAAATTAGTAATTATGTTTCCAGGCACTGATATAGAAAATAGAATTAAATTTAATTTCCTATTAAGGACTGTGCAAATGCTTACTTTAAGATAGTATTAATATTATTAAGTCCTTAGGTCCATGGATTATCATTTAGAACTGGGGTCAGCAAACTGTGGCCCATGGACCAAATTCAACTCACCACCTATTTTTGCAAATAAAGTCTTATTGGAACACAATCATTCATTAGTTTACATATCACCTATGGCTGCTTTCACAATATAATGGCATAGTTGAGTAATTTTTTCAGGGACTGGATGGCCTGCAAAGCATAAAATATTTACTATCTGTTCCTTTATAGGAAAATGTTGCCAACTTCTGATTTAGAGCATTCTACCCATAAATATCTAGAAATACATCATTAGCTTCAGTATGAAAGCAAAATAATTTACTATGTTTCTAAATATAACTACATAAATATAAAAAATACTTTCCAATAAATAATTTTAATAAATAGTGTCTCCTTCCAAGGAATCTGTACTTGTCTTCATCTAAAAGTTATATATCTCTTAAAATATTGTTCATGTGACAAGACAATGGCTCCCACAGAAATTCTTTGATAACTTATTCATCAGGAGTTAAGCAACAGTTAGAGACTAGAGTGTAAAAGATGGGAATG